GTTTGAAACAAAATTGACCAAAGGTAACGTATACAATGTATTTATATAATTTCTAACGGTCATTTATCGTTGAAATCAAGTACCGAAAACTCAAGCCGCCACCGTTACACACGTGCTTAAATGGGCAAAACACGTGCAACACCGAGAGAGTGATACACTATACAGAGTGAAGTAAAGAGAGGTTGGCGGCAGGCGTGAACGACGGTCAACAATCCGTGTGACGGGCGTGAAACCGACCAAAAAACCACCAGGCAGATTCACTCACACAACAGCACACGCAAAATTAACGCCGGACGCGCTTCGGGCGTTGCATCGCCTAGCGGTGATTCCATTAAACAACGCCTAACGCGCCAACTAACGAGTTTTCGGTCAAACAAACCGTGACCATACAGGGTGGTTCAATACCACACATGCAAATTACCTATGCCAAATTGTTTGTAGATGTGAGTAAAGTAAATAATTTTCTTTGTACAAAAAAGTTATTAAATTGTTTCTAAAAATTCTTTAAAGGTATGTAAGTATAGATGGATTATTTCTGTGAGTAACCAGGTTTTGTCAATTTGGTATGACAAATTATCGACCGTCGATATGTTTTTCCTTTTATCATGACGAGTGTAGCGAGTCGTCGTGTTCGTGGTTTTCGCTTTTCCAGTTACCGTAGTAGCGCCACTAGGTGGCCGAGCTGTCGTGACCACTCCATCAATCACGGGGTCCCTAATTCGGCCGGCCAATTTTGAATGATCGATAGCGTCGCCGTCCGTACCGAAAACGACGAAAAGAACGACCCTCGCGATTTTTCAACGCTAACGGAACGGCTGTCTCTTGTGAAAAATTTCCAACTTGTTTGTAAGATATATAGACTGGGAGGAAAGAAATGGCGGAGGAGGAGGATTTTACACCGAGTTGATTTTAATAAGATGTAGATTTTATATATAGTTTGAACGTAATTAATCTGATGGTTATGAATGAGTAGTTTAGGTATAGGGCAAGTCATTTCACAGCAATTACTTGTCCAATTCGCTGTTAGTTGAACCAGAAATTACCGTTTACGATCAATGTCGTTCAATTTATTTTGATTAATCGATCGGAATCAACTTATTTGAGAAATAACCGCAAAACGAATCAGATTTTTTTTTATTCCTCCATAATAAACATAGTCATATTTTGCAATCTAAACGTCTTGTGAGTTTTGAAATCGCGATCGGTTCCCTTGAGAAAATTTCATCACCCTCAGATTTATATGCGGCGATATCATCGCGTAAAACAAAAGATATCCCATAGCAGGACTCGAAATGGTACGAGTTACGTTTGTGTGACCTTTCCTTCTATAGCAACATTATCCTTGAATGCTCTTCCATAATGCGCCGTACCGTTGAAATTAAGATCGGCAAGATTAGAATTGGATTTAGTGGGACTGGATTTGACGCAATACAATTGGACACACGGTCTTTTTAAGATTTAGATAAAAATGATTTTAATTTTAACTTAATCCTAAATGAGGTTAGGAACAAAATTGGCGTTTTCGAAATAGTTTTAGTTGAGGAATGCAATGAAAATTCAATTCGCTTAGGAATTCGTGACTAAAGCATTCATAACCCAAATAGCGTAGATTATCAGTTTTATTTTTTTTTTCTTTTTATTGTTACTAATAAAATGTTGTTTAACTAAAACGATTCTTTATGAAGTTACAAAAAAATTGTGCTTTATACTACTTTATAGTGTAGTTATGATTTTTTCAGAGTTTTATTTCACAATATTTATCTAGAATAAATTTATTTTTTTATTGCACTCTCCCGATTGCTCTTTCTGATCAATGCGGCCTATTATTGTTCGCGACAGCGGCCGCACTGTGTATTTAGAGGATTTCCCTATCTTCGTACAGCTCAAAAGGTCAGTAACATTTTATATATCTGCGTTCTCGAACATGCACGTTGGCATTGCACATGGTCTATTTGTTTTTTATATCTGTGTGCAATCGGGTTTGTTTGGTCGTCTGTGTTTGCGGACCTCTCGCGGTTTATGTAGAAACAATTTCGATCTAGGCGACGGTCGAACACTTTTTTATTAACATTTCTCTTTCCCCAACCAATTTCTTCGATTACCCTTTAAGTATTGTGCTTTTTAAATCGTGTTTGTCACATCACAAGTTTAGGAGAAAATGTGTAAGTTATTTTAATTATAAATAAGTTGTCAATTTTAGTATTAAATTATTTCTGTTAGTGGGTAAAGTTTCTGGAAAGTTAATCTAGAATTAATAAGGCTTGTCGACGAAAGTTCATTTATAAACTGTTCTAAACTTTTATACAATACCACCTAGCTATTTAATATAATTGTTTTTATTCAGTCACGAATTTATTAACGATTTAAAAAGTATACAATTCAAATCATTATTGATTCATAAGTTCTAAAAGCCAAAGAGAATTAATATTTAAATGATTCGCTTTTCGCACGTATTAGAAAATTGATGAAACCTATTATTAATAGGTTATAAATAAAAGAAAGTTCACGTAATAACCGTCAAAAGCAATTCAAATTTAACATACCGAATAGCGTCGAGAGCCACTGAATAAACTGCGAACAGTATGAACCTGACGATAAATGAATAGGCTGACAATTACGCCAATATGTCCACCTAATGGCGAACGAAACGATGACGACGACGCTTTATTTTTAGTGAAGAGAACTTGTTCGGTCTCGGTCTCTTCCTCGCACTAACTCACCTTTTGCTAGCTCCTCTCCACTCTCTGGTACGTTATAACTCGTACAATAACATCCCAGAAACAACATCTGTTATGCATACGCGTGCATTAATTCACCGGATAACGTGGACTTTTGTGCGCTACGAGAGAACTCTGCAGAAGCTGAGCTGGTATGAGCAGCGCGCCATGTGTTTTTCTTGCGTTTACGAACAACTTAAGAGACCGCGATGCTCTATACACTACATAGTAGTAGCTAGGGCGGTTATTGTAAATTTGAAATTGATTCCTTTAGAAAGACGATGCTCTGAAAAGATCGTAATTAAGATTATTTTTATAATTTTTATTTCAACTACATAAATATCCTGTTTTCTAAAAGTAATAAGTAAAAAGGTCATTCTTTATTGGAAAAGGAAATTAGTTATGTACTCATAACTCTTTCGAAATTTGGATTAAGTAAAATCTTCCGTTTATATATACGTTTTAATAAACTTAGGAAGTGGAGCAGGAGGTCGTTCTTTTATACCACGATGTCGTCGTCGTGGTACTTCAACAGCTCCGGAATGTCGAAACGTCCTTTGACATTATAAAGCTTTTCCGGTGGCGGCCGTAAAATCGAATTGCGTCACAGTTTTATCAGCGTCTGGATGCGTGTCGTGTCGCATTGCAGCACCGTGTGCTGTCTTCTCTTCCTTCCCTTTCTGGCTCGAGGATTATGGTGCCCTACCGCGCGGCGGGGTCCTGCCAGGTCGTCCTTACTGCCTCAACCGACAACGCTTTCCAAACGTTCCCCGAGCCGCGAAAACGAGATATACGAGGGAATCCTTTTAACCTAAAGCCATGGAGCCGCGATGTATTTTTGAGTTACGCTTCCGGATTTAACTAAGCATCAGGACCATTCGTGGTTGGAAGAAGAGAATGTTTATAACCTTCGCTAGGTTAAATTAAAAGGAATTAAATGGTAGTGTAGCGGGCAATTAAAAAAGTTATAATTTTACGTCGACCTCAAAGGTAATTGGAACTCATCTCAAAATAATTTAAACTAAAAAGATCACCTGATTAGTTTTTAAATGAATTTAGAAATGTTTCGAAACCATAAGTGTTTTACGTGAGATAGAGTATCTAAAAAGTCATTATTATTACACCGTGTACAAAGATGTTTATTTCAACCAAGGTTTTAAATTTGCATGCACGAAACTGCTATTTATAAGACATATTAATATTTATGTTTGGGAACTGTACGCATATATTTTTAGAACTTCTTTTTCTGTGGTTATTTTAAATTCATGTGTATAAATCAGAAACCATTTAGACTAGACAATTTGTCTTCTCCTTCTTTCTTTCTAACTGTTATTATATGAATTGTATTTTGCGATAAGAACTGATAGAGATAGGTGAGGAGGTATTCTATGAGATAATTTAAACGGCGATTGCGCAATGCAAAATAGGCCAATTAAGTCCAGAGGAGAGTTTAATCCTGTGCCGTGTACGCGTTCCCCTGCGAGGTCTCTGGGATTATCAGTCATGCGGACATAGGCACAACAGTCGCGGCTGCTCGGCGTGTTTATGTTAATTTTGAGGCCAATACCACCGCGAAATATGCACGCGAACGAGATAAAATTATACACCGCAAACGGAGACTGTGTCCCGCGCTCGAGTGCACCGGCGGCGAGTCTTTATCTTGCCACTGAGCGCGCCCTTGTCCCGATTTGGCGTTTTTTTCTTTTGGCTATGAGAAATTCATTGACATTAATTCCTTGTCGTCGACTGTCCGCTGTAAATGCATAAGAATTAAAGTGATTAACGAAATTTACTTATCTAACATGTATATTAGATACGTTTATTATAACAGATGTGAATAATTTAAATATGTATGATACTCGCAGTATCTTAATCAACCGAATTAACATTAAGATTAAAAGTAATAAGTCTATATCATCACAATAAGATGACCAGCTTAATTAGTCAAAAGATCCACGTCATTCGATAATGCCGAGGTCATCTCATGTCACAATATGATGACTAGTTTCAATTAGATATGATATTAAACATTGTGACCTCGGCTTCTTAAGTCAAAAGATCCCCAACCTCACTTGATAAAGTTGAGATCGCTCGCTACCGAAGCGGGATAGTATGATAACCAGCTGATATCATTCAAGTAGATATGATTAATCACTGAGCCTCAGCTGCAAGCGACCTCGGCCACAAACGACGAATAATATATATGAATACAAAGTTAATGTTAAAGAGATAATAAATTAGAAATAATTTCGATAAATGTTTAAGTTGTATTTTGCATTTCAGTTTCGATGCTCGGTCAAAGAGCAAGATGCCTCCGGTAGTGGGCAGACGAACGTACACCGAGGACGAACTGCAGGCGGCTCTCAGAGACATCCAGTCGGGAAAGCTGGGCACCAGGAGGGCGGCCGTCATTTATGGCATCCCCCGCTCAACGCTCAGGAACAAGGTATACAAATTAGCGCTAGAGAGAGAGCGCGAGTCACATCTCAACCCGGTCACATTGAAGCTAGACGAAGACGATCCGATGGACGAGGACAAAGACCTGTCCGGGGCCGAGGAGGAGAAGGAGGTGGAGAAGGCCCTAAAGGGTCCGCTCATCTCCATCGAGGACATCCTGCGACTATCCAACCTCAACAGCACGGAGGCGCTTCAGAGGAACGTCGGACCCTACCTCCAAAATCTCCTGCAGCAGGGCGTCGGAGGAGGTGGAGGTGGAGGAGTGGACCCGAAGCCGCAGATCGATCCGGACCCGATCCTGCGAGAGGTCCTCCGGAAGATCGTCGTCGAAGAGAAACTGCGGCCGCACCATCACAACAACGGAGATAGTGAGAAACTAACCCGACCGAGTCCGTCGAATTCGGCCGGTTTGAGGCAAGAGAAAAGGTCTGAATCTGACATGGAAACAGAAGAGGTGCCGTCGAATGTGATACTAAAGATTCCGTCCTTCAAGCCAACCACCACACCAATCGCTCTGCCAAAGAACGGCTGCGATATCATAAAAAACCCAATGGAACATGTCGGTGCTGTGATCTCGCCGCCGGTTACAAGCAACGAGTCCGCATCGCCGCCCATTCAACCCAAGATGTCGTTAAAAGATGTTAAAGATGCCATCGCCAAAAGTATATGCGGCAAGTTCCATCAGAGCCCCGATCCAAGGTTTCCCATTCCGGACCTTGACATCAAACGAGGTTTTACCCCACCACTCGGAGGCCTTCCCATTATTCAAAAGCCACCGCAAGCTGAAATCCCACCACGCCCTAGTTATCAACCGCCCCCGGTACAGTCATCTAAACCTCCGAACACCACGGCAAACACTGCCGCGGCAGCCGCAGGAGGGAAGGGCACTCGACCGAAACGCGGTAAATACAGAAACTATGACCGCGATAGTTTGGTAGAAGCCGTCAGAGCTGTGCAAAGGGGTGAAATGTCCGTACACAGAGCCGGTAGTTATTACGGCGTTCCACATTCGACACTCGAATATAAAGTGAAAGAGCGACATCTAATGCGTCCGAGGAAAAGGGATCCCAAACCTAATCCGGTTGACGAGAAAATCGCTTCTCTCAAACAAAACGACCTCCGCAACGCAGAGAAATTCAAACCAAATCCACCACCACATCTCAAAACCTTACAAAGGTTACCGCCGACATCTCCTAACGGACGAATGCCAATCATCGATCCAAATTGTCCAATTCAGTATCCACCTCCATTCCCATTTTGGCATAATTTCTCAACCTTTCCACCAGCAGCAGCTTTCCCAACAAACCCTGAACAGTACTATGCCTCCCAGATGATGCAAAAGCTTCAAGAAGAATCATCTCGTACAACGCCTCATACAAACATAGTAAATCCAATACCTCCAGCATTACCTAAAAATACAAGACAAATAGCCGAATCCCTCCTGACCTCAGGAGCCAACGGATCATTCCTCGACGGCATTATCCGTTCTAGTTTAGAATCTGGAGTACCAACATCCAACGATGACGACTCAATAAAAGAAGAAACCACAAAACCAATAGCACCAGAAAACATGTCAAATAAAGCCTTACTCGACCAACTGTGTCGAAATAGTCGCTTAACCCCCTTACCGAAAATGTCAGAACCGAGCAGTTCGTCAGGGGACGAAAGCTATAGAAAAGGGACGAGTCCCCCGAACGCCTCGGACAACAACAAAGTCACCTCCCCTAAACGAAACGACGAGGTTCACACGATAGAATCGTCTAACGATTCGAACGATGCGTCGACGAACGATAAAAAAGTAGAAGAACCACCACTGAAACCTCCTCAAGGGAGAATATACCTAAAAACGGAACTTGCTAACCCGGACAATTTAAAGCCAGAAATGTTGATGCGATTCCGCGACGTTCTTCACGACGTCGATCGAAACGGGGTTGTGGAAACTAACGATGGCCAAACGATCCAGGACTGACCTTCACCAATGCTTGGAGCACTGCTTATGCCGCAGGTTACAAGTTCAAGAATGTCCCAGAACGGAAGGGACCAGCGTTTGTTGTTGATGTAACAAGATAAAAACTCGAAATTAACTAAAAATTTAAAAGAAATATAAGAAAATTTATAGATTGACAAATTATTTTTCGTTTATTTCGAGTTTTTTTAAGAGCACCAGAAGGAAGATGTTTGTTGATATTTATTTATTAAATTCGTTTCTGTTAATAAGCTCTTAGGGTTAGAAGAACGGTTAAAGTTGCATTCTTACATCAAAGCAGTGTCCGCGACAATTAATAAGACTAAAAATAAAAGGAAATTAAATAAATATAAATAAATCAAAAAACATGAACGAGACGTCTAAAATCCATATAGCATAGCATATATATCTTTCTCTCTGTAATAAATTATTAGGTGTTTTTTGAATTTTTCCACCGATCTTATTGGAAATTTGACCGGTGGTCGGCTAAAAAAAGAAATATTAAAGTAAACATGTAGATAATGGCAAAAACAAATTCGTACTCTATGTTCATTGTTCGGTGTTTTTTCGGCGTATAACTCTAATGACAAAAAAAAATTATGAAAAACTGAAAAAACAAAGTATATCGGTGTACTTTCTATATGTGTCTTCAACGTTGCGTATACCTCAAAACGTTTATAAATTAAAAAAATTTCATGTATGTACCACGCAGAAAAAAAGTACGGAAAAGGTGAGGAGAGTCGTCTAACTTTTACGACCTCTATATGTCTTACCACATACATAAACACATTAACACATAATTGACTGCTTTGATGTTGATATATCGATGATAAAAAAACCCTCGGGACGGACGTCCCGCAATTGATAAAAAAAATTATATCTATCTGTGATTTATTCAAAATTTTTGATGTATATTTTCTCTAAAAAGAAGAATATCTTAAATATTATAAATATTAAATTAAATGAGAAAACAATTAGGTGTAGTTAATTGATATGGAAATATTTGAATTTAAATAAAAAAAAGAGCGGCCTGACGCGCCCTTGTTTTCATATGACAAAGTGCAATTAGATGGTATATACATATATATTTACATCAATATTAAGTAGGATATAAGATATATTTAAAAAATATATTATATATTTGAGAATAAATGGAAGCTATTTTCGTTTGAGAGATAAAAGATTGACACTAACTACAGATAGAGTTTATGATGACAAAACAACAGCAAACAAATTCTTTCTTTGTATTTATTAATTACGTATTAACTAAATTTTTTTTAAATCTGACCGAAATTATTCAAAATGTTGCGTAAATTTTTAAAAAGCAGTCCAAATTACAAAAGTATACGATAAATCAAAATTGATACAAAAATCTTTATGTATAACAAATACAATGAAAGAATTTGCAAAATAAAATGCTTCTAATCCCTCAACAAACAAAACTTCCGCAACAAAAAAATTAAATTGACAGGCTGCTACCGATAACTTAACTACACAACAGACCAGAACCGGCTCGACACCGACAGTTTTAGGCCTAGCCAAAACGGCTGGGTCATCACAACCAAAACCAAATCTACATAAAAAAAAAACTACCAGATTCTACAGTAACACACACATATTTATGTTGGACCAATTGCAGTATATTGTACATATATATTAAATGGTATGCTTTTTTCAAAACATATCGTTTTGGGGTCGTTGCCATAAAGGTAAAAAAAAAATTAGGCGCGTAAACCCGGTGGCTACACCCCCAAAAACCAAAAAAAAAAAGAAACATTCCAACCATATATGTGCCAGATTTTTTATTCGCAAGAATAGAAAATACGAAAATTAGCTGATGATGATAATGATGAAAGAAAGAGAGAAAGAGAGATAGAGAACTTGATGATCTCTGGCCCAGCTCATTGCAGAAATGGGAGAACATATTTTCGTTTCTAAATGTATCATATAATTAATGTAAACGTTGTTCGTTTTTGCGTCTAACCCCAATTGCCCCCGGGGACGTCGAGAAAAAAATTAATGAAACGAGAGTAAAAAATCGTAGGTGTTAAGATTAAAAAAACACTTGTATTTTTAAATGTTTGCGTGTAACACTTTTGCTTGCCAATTTGCAAAACATAAAGGTTTTAAAAAGTACGTACTCGAAAAATAAAGTAAATAAAAAATTCGGCTTCGTGAAGGCAAACCATAAATAAATAAATGTCCAAGAATTATTATTATAAAACGAGTTCTTTTTTATTTTTGAAAAAATGTGTTTGCAAAGTGCGCATTGCAAGTGTGCGACAACCCAATCGATAATATTTTTTGTGTGCAATTTTTCTAACATTTTTTTTTTTTAGTAACTGTCCGTTTTTTTTTAATTATTATTATTCTTTATAAATCCCACCATGTGATACTTGTTTGTAAATGATCCAGTTAAAGACACTTTTTTACCCACATCATAAAGAATTTTTTGATTAAACGAAATATTCAAAAATAAAATTGTATAAAAGAGAGACGAGGTCCAAAAAAAAAATCAATGTCGATATAAATATTATAAATTTCCAAAAATAAATAAACGTATACGCAAAATTTTACAAGAGTAGTGAGATGAATAGTAAGCGATTGAGGAAATTAATTAATAAAAAAATCAAAATTCGAATTGTGTTCTCAAAATGATTACAAAAAGCTATGTGGTTAAGAATTGTTGAGTTTATGTAGTTTTATAAGGGCGTTAATATTTCCCGAATTCATTTTGCATTTCTTTTATGAAAACGAAGAAAAAATAAACATGCATTCCCCCTGATAATTAAATCGAATTTTTAAAATAACATTTAAAAATAAAATTAAAAATATCAATTAATTTTTTTTTTTTTGATACATTCCAAAATTATAAAAATCTATTTTTAAACGATTAAATTGTTATTTTAAAATATTCGATTTCATATGTGGCTGTTTATGTGGAAATTTATTTAGTATTAAATTAAATAAAAATTTTTATATGAATTGGAACAAAAGCTGAGAGTCGTGCTTTTGCAGAATGATTATCTTTGAGGCTTAATCTCAAAATATTTTCTCAAAATTTATTGATTTGAAGTTCAATGGAGTGTTTAACATACGATGAATCCATCTGCATTAATAGTTATGTGTTGAGGTTTTAGTTAATTAGTGTAATCAAAAATCTTCATTAATTGTGAAGGTAACTTAAGTTTGTGATGGATTAAAAGTTATAGGCTTTGTTGAACGTACCCTATACTTCTTACTGCAACATCTGAGAGAAATCTCATATAACTGAGATGCAACATTATCTAATGTACTTATAATATAAAAATTCGATTTTAAGTACGAAGTTGAGCTTCAATTAATTACCGAATAGAAGAGATTATGAAAAAAGGGTTATTTCCAGTATTTATAAACTCCAGTTTGCGTTGATGTCTATTTATTATCTTTCCTCCTGGAGTTTCAAGGTCAAGGTTATGCAGTGAGATCTTGACTGAGGTTCCAGGAGGAGAACCGAATTTTTATTATTCACATATATATTTTTGATATCATTCAACTTTCTAACTATGATTACTTATTTTTACATTCAATTCATCATTGTGGCTTTTAGGATGTTTATTATCTTATTTTGGCGATAATATTGTGATTTGAGATGGTTAATTGAAATAAAATCATTCTGCAAAATTACGAGACACGAAAACTGAAATAAATTTGATACTAAATAAATTTTCTCATCTACAGTTACATATATTAATAAAAATAATGAAAACACATGCAGTATTCTTTTAATAAAAAAAAAAAAATAACAGACTTTTTGGAATAACGGACCACGGTCTATTTATTAGTTGTTTAGATCAATCATTCCAATAATTTTGTTCTCTAAATAAGACTTCTTATTCCTACACAATATTTTTTTTTACAATCACAGTTTAATAATAATTTTTTTATTATTATTGAATTAATTAGTGTTTTTTATATAATGTATATCGTTTTTAATGTCAAACGTATTTGTTAATTAATTCTTAGTTATTTTTATTATTATTACTATTTGGTAGTGTGCAGTGTCTACTTAAGTTTGCTTATAATTATCCTTGTAAATATTATCCCGCGCACCCTAAATGAAAAAAAAAATAGTGTGTGCTTGCGTTATCCCCTCACCCAAAAAATTTTTTTAATTAAATTAATTGTTGCTCCCACAGTTTTTTAATTATTACAAACAGTCGTAACAAGAGCATTTTTTCGTTTTACGAGCATCCATATTGAACAATAGTTAAAAAAAAGTACAGATTTAAAAACAATTACCCACATTAAACCGCATTTGTGAAGAATAACCAATTTAGTACACAACACAAATCGTATTTTTTTAAAATGAAATAAGTTATTATTTCTTTATTGTACATTTTTTTTTAGATTTCTCAGCAAAGTATATTAATTTTTGCGTTTTTTTTTTTAATTAATTATTATTTATGTTGCAATATGAGACGATATACTATGAAAACGATGATATAATATAAATAAATATTAATAATGCGTATAATAAATAATTAATGGTGATTATTAAATTTTTTTTATTTTTTTCCTTTTTAAATTTTTTATAATTCATTTCCAATGTGTCGTTTTTCTTTTGTGTTTAAGAAATGGGTGCGTATTTAAAAACGAAGATATCTTAATTTGTTAATAAATAAGCGAATAAGTTCTTTTTTTAATTTCCAATACCACCGTGTGTTGTTATTTGTAAATCACGTATCGTAATAATTATTTTTTTATACACTACATACACCTCACACAAAAACCTCAGTTTATTTTTTTTTAATTTCTTTAAATAAATAACAAATGTTTAAAGAAAATTGAAAAGAAATCTATCGTTATTAGTAATTGTAATAGTTAGCGAGTATTTTAAAATATAAATTTACATCGATAAGGAAACAGAGTACAACTGTTTGATATAATCTAAATAATAAGACGATTTTTCTTATATAATTTCACACCACCCTCGTGTAAAGTAATTTTTTGATGAAGTAACACAACACTAATACAAAAATTCTTGGTGACGGCACTTACTAACTTTTAGAACGTAAGGTTATCAATTAATAGTACGTAAAGACATAGAATTTACTGGTAGACGTATTAATTACTTTAATTCAATCAACTATTTAAAAATAGTGAAAAAGCGATGATTAAAAAATAACAAGTAGATCTTCACAAATGCGGTAGCAACAAAACAGGTTCAAACAATAGATAGATTACCAAAATGGCATATTTTCAAAGTGTAAACTACAGAATACAGTCAAACTACAGGTTTTCAACTACAAGATTTTCTCCCTAATTAATGAAAAATACACATTTTTCCCTTTGAGGGTTTGTCCATATCAAAGAATTCATTAAAACTAAATTAATTATTTGATAATAATAATTAAGTAAATTATGCTGTATGTATCTGTAGGGGTTTTGTGTTAATTTCTTTTAAAATCTTTACTTGTATAAAGTAAAGTTTTTACCAACAGATATTAATTTATTGTTTCAAATTTGAAAAATGTCAATTTTCAATTTTTGGGTCATCGATGCCTAAAATGATGTTTCTTCCAAACTTTTCTATTTCACAAGATCTGCGTTGACTTGTTGAATATTGTTCTTCATTTCTGATTACATTTTCCAGGGCTTAGTTGAAAAGTAGAACTGCGTTTTTTCCTAATGTTCTTGATAGATCTCTTTGTGCCCTGACTTTACAAGAAACGTAATATTCTTGGCATCCTTTTGCACCTCATCATCGTGTTCTGGGTTTCCTACTTCCAAGCTGTCTCTTTCATCTGGCATCTTCTGAACATACAATATTATAAGATATAATTGATTTCTGACTTTTTTGCATTTTCTAGATTTTGACATGTTTTCAATTTAATCGTTATAAGTTTCTTTTTGGCATCATCTTGGCTACTTCCTTTCCTTTCTTACTCTTTTTGTGACTTTTGAGTGTTATCCACTTCCTGTTTCAGATCTTGTGTGATTTCAAATATCTGATCATTTGTTGATCAAGGATCGTCTAGTCCTAAACCCAGCGTGGCTCTCTCCCAATTTTGTCTGCCATTATCTCTGCTTGTCAGTACTCAGCACCATTGGTATTGTTGTTATAGAACTTAGGTTTCAATAAAAATGAGTAATCTAATAAACACAAAAACCATACAAAAGGATGTAAAATATGAATTATTTGTTATGGACAAACTCTTACTCTTTTTAGTTTTTGATCCCTCTATTTCGTTGTTATTTAATTTTGTTGTGCTTTATTAGTGCTTCTTTATTGGCTGAAAAATGTTATTATGTTAATAAATTCGCACGAATTTTAATAACAACCAACTTGAAATGTTTCGTTGATTGAGATTTATTAAAATTCGTGTTTAAAAGAAATCAAAACGAGTAAATCAAAAAGATTTTATGGAATACTTTAGATTATTAATAACCAGATTTAATTAATTAAATAAACAAATCCAGAACATATCAAAATAGATAGTTTTTACAAGAAGAATTTCCAAAAAAATCAATCAAATGAAATTTAATGAGAAATAATTTGAAGTATTCCATGTTTTTTAAATAGATGAATAGAATTTAAAAAAATTTATGAAACCAAATTTGAAAAAAGATCGTTTTCGAAGTTTTTAGCTTTAGCACGTATCTTAAGTAAATAAAAATTAAAGCACACAAATACACCAAAAAGTGTCTTCTTGTATTATTAAAAAGAAAAAAGGATGTTTTTTAGTAAATAATTTTCGTACCTGTTACTCGGTGCATATTCCGACATTTTAGTTAAAGAATGAAAAAGGTCGAAATCGGAGAATTATGTAAAAATATAAAATGATGGAAAGTCGTCTAGTCTATGCAGTGCTTAATTGATCGTAGATGAATATTAAAAAAAATCGCGAAGAACTACTATGTGATCGGTAAATATCGATTAAGACTGAGTAAAAAAAAAATAAAAAAAAATGAAAGAAAATATAAAGACAATTATTAAAATTTTAAAAACGGAGAGAATTATTTTATTTTTTTGTTATTATGATGTCCGAAATGAAATGAAAGGGAAGATAAATAAAAAATAATAAATTTCAACAAGAATATGCCATAGAGTTAATCTAAACAAAAAACAAAAAATAAATAAAAAGAAGTCATCACAGGAATAAAAAAAATACTGCAAAATATCACATTCTCACATATAACTACAAAAAAAAAGCAGACAGAAATAACTGGGACCAAACTCATATCCAAAAAAAAAGAAATTAAATTAAAGAAATTTATCGAAAAGATTATAAATGAGAAAAATTAAGCTGATATCAAAATTTGTTCACCCTAAGTTTTACTATTAAGGTATTAAAACAAAAAACGTACTAAAACAAAAATTAAAAAAAAAAAGAAACAGATTTCTTGATTTGTTTTAAGGTGCAAGTTGATTAATTTCAATTAAAATTTGTGTTAAATCAAAGAAATCTGTTGGCCATTTGTAAAATACAATAATTTGTAAGTTGTTTAACTATTCCATTTTGACAATATGTTAGTGTAAACGAAATTATTTCCGCTCAAAAGCTGATGCGAGGCTTTTGAATAATTAAAAAAGAAATCTATATTTTGCGCAAGACAAAGAACCGATTATTATTAATAAACACGATTTATTTGATTCTGTGTAAATCACATCTTTCTCATATAAATAAATTAATTTATTATTAAAAAAATAAACATTGTAATAATAAAAGTTTTAAATGTTGTACTATTATAATTCTTGATGTGTGATTTTCGGTTCTTCGTCTTGATGCCACGTATCGTGACTACAAAATGCCTTTTTAGCGTGAATATATTATATTGAAAATATATCAGTGGGTTGTATTTTAAGAAAAACAAAACAAAAAAAAAATAGATATTAAAAAATTTGAATGAAAAGGAGGGGAAACGCCTTTAAAAACGGCCGGTTTTTAACGGACCCTTTTCCCAGTCAACATTTAAAGAAATCTAAAGATGAAAAAAATAAAGAAATACATACCAACGTCATGTTCGTATCTGTGACACGTTTTATTCAAGTTAGATGTTTGAACATTGCTTTGTGGGAAATTGTTATTTTCAGAAAATATTTTAAAATCGCAAAAAAACGTTAAAATATCATACACATTGTATATTTATAATGTAATTCTGAAGTATACCGGTATTTATTATACTGTGAAGTACATTACTTTTTGTGTTTTTATTTTTATATCCCATATTTTACCCAGTTATAAATCAACAAAGAAGGTAAGGTTTCAAATATTTCTCATTTAAGCGTATTCTTAATTTAGATTCATTATGCGGTAAAGGAGCAAGAAATGAGGGATATCCGATAAACAATTTCCCTAATTTATTTTTCCTATTTCCAATGTCCACTACTTTGCAGTTGGTAGTCCAGTAATCTTTTTGTACTTGATATAGTGGCTGTATTTTACATTATTTAGTCAAGAAGAAACTAATAAAAAAATATAAAGAAATATCCAGAATAGAAAGTCCAACGGAAGACCTCGAAATCTTTGGTTCTGGACATTAAGGAGGGAGGAGTTATACGATTCAAGACCCAAATTCCTATATTCGTGTATTTATCCCTATTTTTTAGAAAGAATGCATAAAGACACAACGTAAAATAAAGCAAATAGAGCTCATAGTTTAGGTTTGGCGGTATAATTGACATTACAAAAAAAAATAACCGTGCTTAACATTCCTTCATGGTATAATTTGTGTTTCAAAAGGGAACTGACCTATCCTAACATTCCTTCACGGTATGATTAGGGTTTCAAAAGAAAACTGACCTAATTTAACATTCTTTCGGGAAATGATTGACATTTGTAAACAAAACGAACCTAACTCCATTTTTTTTTCTGGAAGTCATTGCTCATTTTTATAATAAACAAATTACTTATACAGTGAATTTCACTTAAGATGCAATATACAAAAATATATTTCCATAAAAACCAAGGCGTACCACTCACTTTCCAATAAACCAATCCGTTTTGAAAAATAACTGTTAGTTTTTGAGAAAGCAATATTTGAAGTTTTGATAAAATTTTCGATGTTGCAATTATTAATAATTTTCAAAATTCGCTATAAAATTAATTTCTTGAAGGATCCTTGTGGAAATATCACCAATTATTAATTAAAGTATCCCCTTTTTAATGCAAAAAGCCGTTTTGAAAAATCACTTTTAGTTCTTGAGAAATAAATTTTTGAAATGATCGACAATTTTTTCGAATTTTGCAATTTTCGCCGATTAAGTTTTAAAAATTCGTATAAAATCCATTTCTTGGAATATGAGTATGAAAATTTCCCAAAGTGTTAATAAAAGTGTCCTCTTTCCAATGAACCAACCCGTTTTGAAAAATAACTTTTAGTTTTTGAGAAAACAATATTTGAAGTTTTGATAAAATTTTCGATGTTGCAATTTTCATCGATAATTTTCAAAATTCGCTATAAAATTAATTTCTTGAAGGATCCTTGTGGAAATATCACCAATTATTAATTAAAGTATCCTCTTTTTAATGCAAAAAGCCGTTTTGAAAAATCACTTTTAGTTCTTGAGAAATAAATTTTTGAAATGATCGACAATTTTTTCGAATTTTGCAATTTTCGCCGATTAAGTTTTAAAAATTCGTATAAAATCCATTTCTTGGAATATGAGTATGAAAATTTCCCAAAGTGTTAATAAAAGTGTCCTCTTTCCAATGAACCAACCCGTTTTGAAAAATAACTTTTAGTTTTTGAGAAAACAATATTTGAAGTTTTGATAAAATTTTCGATGTTGCAATTTTCATCGATAATTTTCAAAATTCGCTATAAAATTAATTTCTTGAAGGATCCTTGTGGAAATATCACCAATTATTAATTAAAGTATCCTCTTTTTAATGCAAAAAGCCGTTTTGAAAAATCACTTTTAGTTCTTGAGAAATAAATTTTTGAAATAATCGACAATTTTTTCGAATTTTGCAATTTTCGCCGATTAAGTTTTAAAAATTCGTATAAAATCCATTTCTTGGAATATGAGTATGAAAATTTCCCAAAGTGTTAATAAAAGTGTCCTCTTTCCAATGAACCAACCCGTTTTGAAAAATAACTTTTAGTTTTTGAGAAAACAATATTTGAAGTTTTGATAAAATTTTCGATGTTGCAATTTTCATCGATAATTTTGAAAATTCGCTATAAAATTAATTTCTTGAAGGATCCTTGTGGAAATATTACCAATTATTAATTAAAGTATCCTCTTTTCAACGCAAAAAGCCGTTTTGAAACATAGCTTTTAGTTATTGAAAAATAAATTTTTGAAATGATTGATAATTTATTTTTAGCTAGTTTTTTTTATATCTCTTTTGGGACACCTATAATATTTATGAAACATAGATTCCATATGAAAACACAAATTAATAACAACAATATAATAAATCTAAGTACAATAAAATTATAACAATATATTATGACACATTTTCTTCAGCATCTGTTTTATTATCAGACATTAAAATAGCTGTACTCCATGGACCACAAATTAAATCCAACACATCTCCATCAGCCTCATACAAACATTTCATTGCAGTCTCATCATTGGATTTATTGTTACCTAATTGAAAGTATTTATTCATTCCAGCCCCATATAGTTTATTTCCTAAAAATGATTAATTTAAATAATAAATTGTTTTTAATTTATTAATATTAACCTAACAAAGCTACAGTATGTCTTGTCCCACAAGCAATGTCCTCAACACTAGCTTCAAAGTCAGGAAAATTGACGGGTTCTGGGGTTCCAACAACAGCCTTTTTATCTACATCTTTATCTTCAAATAAACCAAGTTGATTGTCTTGGTTCCACCCCCAAGTGTACATGTCCCCGGAGTCGCTTAAAGCACAAGAATGCCACCCACCGGCCGCAATCTTATCAATTTTTATTCCTGCCAATGCTTCAACTAGGACTGGGTTATCCTTATTGGTTAAATCACCATGACCTAATTGTCCTTTACTAAAAAGTTATTATAATAAAAGTTTAAAAAAATAATAATAAATACCTTCCACTTCCAAATGTATAAACATTACCAGTTTTATCTAATAAAATACAATGTTCTCTTCCTGTTTCAACTTGAACGATCTCTTTATTAACAAAATCTAATTTATTCGGTATATCATAAACAAATCCATTTTTTGTGATTCCAATTATAAAATCAGGACCAGCAGAAATATCAACGATGCAATCATCCTCATCTATATTTACAGAGATTTTATTTAAGCTTAAATCACCATCGATATTAACATTATAAACCCCACCACATTCAAACAAAATGGTCATCTTATTATCATAAACGGATACTTTTTTAACAACTTTTCCTAAACCCGTTTTAATTTCAACGTTTTGATGAGTTTTCTCATCAAAATATCCGTACAAAAACATCTTTAACTCATCATTTTGTACGATTCCAAAGGTATGGGTTAAATGTAGCGTTTTTAACGAGTCGTACTTAAACTCGGTAAACGATTTTATAAGGGATTGATTCTGAGAAATCAATCCAAATAGATTAAATCCGGCGTATTTCACTCTCATTATTGATTTAATAAGTCGATGTACACAAAAGTTTTCCTTGACAGTGACTACTTTGGGTGTCGAAACAATTATAATATCTTCATTATAACACAAATTAATTAATAATTAAGAACACTCCAATTTAAAATTATGGTAAGTAGATGATTTTTTTGGTTTAAAATCGTTAAATATTTGTCGATATTCGATTAATTTTATGATTTTATGAAAAAATGTACATAACCTGACAGATTTGTTGTGAAACATTGAGTTGTCATGGTAACATCAGTGCAACCAACTTTAAAATTAAAAATAATATTTAGGTTATGGTGAACGATTTAACCGATATTTTTAGGGTTTATTAGCAATTTTAAGAAAATTAAGAGCAACTCCTGAGAAAGAACTTCGATTATTATTACTTGGATTAGATAATGCTGGTAAAACAACGATTTTAAAAACTTTAGCATCTGAAGATATTAGCCATATAACACCAACAGCTGGGTTTAATATAAAATCGGTTATTTCTGATGGATTTAAGCTTAATGTGTGGGATATTGGTGGGCAGAGGAAAATTCGACCTTATTGGAAAAATTATTTTGAAAATACCGACATTTTAGTAAATAAATCTAGATTTTTAAACAAGATTTACAAATTAAATTTTTTTTAGATTTATGTTGTCGATTCATCTGATAAACCAAGATTAGAAGAAACCGGAATTGAGCTGTATGAGTTATTAAGTGATGAGAAATTACAAGATGTCCCTTTACTTGTTTATGCAAATAAACAAGATTTACCAAATTCTTTGCCAGCCTCGGATTTAGCACAAGCTCTTGGATTACCGACTATTAAAGATCGAGCTTGGCAAATACAATCTTGTGTGGCCACAAAGGGAAGTGGAGTTAAAGAAGGGATGGAATGGGCTTGTAAAATTATTAAGAAAAAGTGAAATAATTTGTAGAAGAAAAGAAAACGTCCTTTATAATTAAAAAAATATTATTTATGTATTAATTTTATGGATAATATTAGATTTAAAATAAAAGAAACAAAATAATGTATTCATTTTGCATGGAGACTATCTTTTTGAGCTATCTGAACATTAAATTGTAAAAATAAATGGTGTTTTTTATTGTGCTCAAAACCTCTCAGGAATGCAATGAAGATTTCAATTAATTACTTTGTATTGTGAATCATTTTAATCGATTATATTACTCGTTTTGTTTAAACTTTCAGAACGTTTTCATTTATATTTAACTAATTTTAATAAAATGTACATTTTGTACAACAATTCAAGAATCATCATGTGGCTTAAAAATCAATTTCTCTCAAGTAAGCCGTTATAAATAAAAAAAAGTGTAAAACTTACCTAAAAATCACTTTAAAGTTTCAACGTGACGTCACTTTTTGTGACGTCATCGACCGTGCTAACTATACAGGGTGTGTCAAATGTCTGGAATATAGCCAATAACTTCACCATTTGTGGTTTTAAAGAAAAATATTTTAAATATATGCGTAACAATATTGCTTGTTACATTGTTTTTTGTTTCGTTGCTATGGCAACCAACATTGTTTTTTTTAAATGGGATGCATAAGTTTTTTTTGCATATTTTGATAGAAGATAAATCCCTCTACGCGATGAACATATCAAATGATATGGTTGTATAAGAAAAAAACCGAGAAAAAACGAGTTGACAGCTTTAAATGTCAAAAAAATTGACAGTTTAAACATATATGGTGCAATTAAGCGAACAAAGAATTCAAATATTACCACCCTGTACACTGTTCAATAATATTTACCCGGATACACAATCCACAGTATCCCATACATTATTAATTATTTATAATTGTTGAAACTGTCACTTTTTTGACATTTAAAGGTGTCAACGGAGTTATTTCGGCGCCTACTTTGATTGTAATTTGCTGATAATATCTTTAGAAAACGCTTTTTTTCTTATAAAACCATATGATTTGATATGTTTATCGCATAGAGGGATTTATCCTCTATCAAAGTATGCAAAAAAGACATATGCATCCCATTTAAAATAACAATGTTGGTTGCCATAGCAACGAAACAAAAACGATACAAACTAGCAAATATCGCCAAAAAATGCGCCATGATTAATAAAGAAACTTGTATTTGAAACATTTTTCTTTAAAACCACAAATGGCGAAGTTGTTGGTTACATTCCAGACATTTGACACACCCTGTATATTTTCGCAGCACATTTGATTAAAACGCATATTTCGGGTGAAATACGAACGTTTCTTGGGTTTTTGACGCACGACGACTAAAATGTCGTTGTTTACCATCTATAAACTATGCATAACATAGGTAATAATAACATAAATATAACCTAAAATCTATGCCTGATGCTCTACATTCGGATCTACCAGTTTAGCCGTCTTTAGAGACGTGCGGCTAAACCCGAAAGTTTCTAGTTTTCGGTCTAATGTTAGTTCTAGTAACAGAGCTAGGTAGCGCTAGATAGCATAAGATATCACTATGTTGTATATTTTTATTGCACTAAAACTAGAACTAACACTAGTACTAGAAACATTCAGGTTTAGCCGTGCGTCTGAGGATGCACGTCTAAACCCGATACTTTCTAGTTCTAGGTCTAGTATTAGTTCTAGTTTTACACTATCACAAGAACTACCACAAGACCTAGAACTAGCATCATTCGGGTTTAGCCGTCTTGAAAGACGTGGGGCTAAATCCGAATGTTTCTAGTTCTAGGTCTAGTGTTACTTCTACTTTTACTTTTAGTTCTAGTGACAGTGCTAGGTAGCACTACTTAGCATAAGATATGACTATGTTGCATATTTTTATTACACTAATACTAGACTTTTCGATCTAATGTTAATTCTAGTATTAACACAGAGTCTATTGACAAATAGTCTATTGATACACAGTCTATCTAACGACAGGTAGTCAGTCATTAGTAGAGCTCGGATTTTTATGCAGTCAAATTGTAATATAATAAATATGCAAGCTTTTTANATTTTATTACTTTTGTGAATAATAAATTATTATGTTGAAATTAGATCTTTCATTTAAAATATATTTATTTCCTTTTTTCAAAGCAATATTAATTGTGTTATTTTTAAATTTGGCGGTTAAAGTTAGCCCCAACGATCTGGCAACGTCGCTCGCTTCGCTTCTATGCGCAGCGAACAATGTTACTAGATCGTTGGTTAGCCCAGTTTTACACCATTATCCTAGTGGAAGTTGGTTTTAATCTATGATTAGTTCTCTGCGGTGACATCGGATGGCGCTGTACGCAAGGTACAATTTAATAAGGTAGAGTTGGCCATCTCTATCCTTCCTTGTCTCTGAACTTCACCATTTGTGGTTTTAAAGAAAAATGTTTTAAATATATGCGTAACAATATTGCTTGTTACATTGTTTTTTGTTTCGTTGCTATGGCAACCAACATTGTTTTTTTTAAATGGGATTCATAAGTTTTTTTGCATATTTTGATAGAAGATAAATCCCTCTACGCGATGAACATATCAAATGATATGGTTGTATAAGAAAAAACCGAGAAAAAACGAGTTGACAGCTTTAAATGTCAAAAAATTGACAGTTTAAACATATATGGTGCAATTAAGCGAAGAAAGAATTCAAATATTACCACCCTGTACACTGTTCAATAATATTTACCCGGATACACAATCCACAGTATCCCATACATTATTAATTATTCATAATTGTTGAAACTGTCACTTTTTTTACATTTAAAGGTGTCAACGGAGTTATTTCGGCGCCTACTTTGATTGTAATTTGCTGATAATATCTTTAGAAAACGCTTTTTTTCTTATAAAACCATATGATTTGATATGTTTATCGCATAGAGGGATTTATCCTCTATCAAAGTATGCAAAAAAGACATATGCATCCCATTTAAAATAACAATGTTGGTTGCCATAGCAACGAAACAAAAAACGATACAAACAAGCAAATATCGCCAAAAAATGCGCCATGATTAATAAAGAAACTTGTAGTTGGAACATTTTTCTTTAAAACAACAAATGGCGATGTTATTGGTTATATTCCAGACATTTGACACACCCTGTATATTTTCGCAGCACATTTGGTTAAAACGCATATTTCGGGTGAAATACGAATGTTTCTTAGGTTTTTGACGCACGACGACTAAAATGTCGTTGTTTACCATCTATAAACTATGCATAACATAGTTAATAATAACATAAATATAACCTAAAATCTATGCCTGATGCTCTACATTCGGATCTACCAGTTTAGCCGTGCATATTTTTATTACACTAAAACTAGAACTAATACTAGACTTTTCGATCTAATGTTAATTCTAGTATTAACACAGAGTCTATTGACAAATAGTCTATTGATACACAGTCTATCTAACGACAGGTAGTCAGTCATTATTAGAGCTCGGATTTTTATGCAGTCAAATTGTAATATAATAAATATGCAAGCTTTTTATTTGAAATATGCAAAAATATGTAGAAATATGCAAAAATATACCTTTCTAAATAGTTGTCATCAATCTAAAGAAAAACAATTAATAAACATTAACATTACATAACATATTCATATAATAAGTAAAGTTGTGAAACCTTATTTTTCTTTATTTCTTTACATTTTTGTATGTTTTCCTGTGATGATTCTTGAAATTTTCCCAACAATACTAGCGGTTATTGAGTTGTAATAAATGTTTTATTTTAAGAAAATTAAGCAAGCAACTAAGGCTTAATCAAATAAAATCATTCAATTCGTTATTTTATGTATATTAGCTTTAAAATAAAAGAATAAAAATGTTCGACAATTTATTCAGTGCAGAATTAATTTCTATGTATATTTACAGTTTTCACAAAGAAAAAAAAACAACATATACATTTTGTACTTAAAACTATAAAAAAAAACAATAACAGGCAAGACACGAACAGCCTAAGAAATAATCACCGTCATCAATCAAAAAATACCATCGAAAATTACAAAGCTTTTCAGATTTATTGTAATTAATTTATTTACACAATCCACTTCCACTTAAGCTTTTACAAAAAAAGGGTAAATTGGATAAAACGCGCTTTTACATAAATTGTGTGCAAAAAATATACTCCAGTTAAGATTTTTTTTTGGCACAGTATTTTTCAAGTATTAATAATACTGCAAGAAGAAATTCAAAAGTTATAATTTAATTTAACGCTTGATACCTTTTTCTTAAAACTTTTCGAAAAATCGTACAATTTTTTTTATTCTTTCTAGAACTCGTAGAGTACATAAATATATACATAATAATTAATAATTTCTATAACATATCGATAGAATTATCACAAAAGTAAATTGCTTAATAACCTGGAATATTCCTTTATAAATCACAAAAAAAACAAATAGAAAAAAAATACACTTGTGAAGAAGTGAATAAGCGATTAATAAATACAACTTAAACCGTAAAATGCAAAATAAAAACGAAACAAATATTAATAATAATTATTAAAGTTTTAATTAATTACAATTTGTGGGAGGGGATACTTTTTTTCGATTATCACTAATAAGAGAAAAATATATATAATATTTACCATGTCTTTTTTGTACAATTAAAAATTATTAATTATTTCTTTTTTTAGATATACATAATTTATTTCTTTATCTAAAGCTACCAAGAGCACAAAATATTTATAATTATATTGTATGTTCAATAAAATCTTTGTTATAATTGTTATCAGAAAGATAATTTTTACCATCTTAAACGTAATTGATGAATATGTTTTATTGAACAAACCACATTCGTTTTTAAAAACCAAATTAATCTTCCATACACTTTTATTATGATTAAAAAAAGTATTTCTTTTAAAAGCACTCAATGAGTTAAAATAAAAATATAAACAAATGCAAAAAAATCTATTACTTATTGCACACACGACTCAATATCTCATTTTTCGATATTTCATTTCTCAATAAATTTCCTCGCGTATAAAAACATATACATCTTAAAAAATCTTTAAGGCACGATCATTCTTCACTTTGATCTTAGTAATTTTCTTTTAGAATATGTATTGCTTTTATTATTTTATTTTAATAATAAATAGAATTTATTGTGCCATTTAAAAAAAAAATCTCAAAAATAAAATAATCGATTTAAGTAATTAATCCTTAAGAATAAATTTTTAAGATTTTTTTCTTTTCATTTAGTTCATACGTGAGATTCTAATGGAACTTTATAGACAGATGTTTCTGGAAAACTTTGTGGTCTAGCTCTAATGAAGTGCTGCTTAAACGCAGCGACCATATCTTCTTGGGCTATCTCAAAATTAAATTGTAAAAATAAACGCTCTTTTCTCGACGTGCTCAAATCGGGGGAACTAGTACGTAATGAAGATTTATTTTCATTTTTTGAGTCGTTTGTGTTCGTGTCTTCTTTATGATTTCTGTTATCTAACCAAGTGACTTTATCAGGATCTTTAGTTCCACCCACCGTATGTCTTCGTTTAATCGATCTCTCAGGCATTCCATTTTTTCGTTTCAACTTTGTGAATTCTTTGTTTGAACGGCGCGTATTCGACGAAGCAAATTCCCTCCTTTTACTTATGTTGCTTTCGGTTTTTTCGTTTTTCGTCAAACTATCCGATCTTTTCAATCGATCACTCGCTTTGTTTAAACTTTCGGAACGTTTTAATTTAATTGTTAATGGCGAAACGGTTCTATCCGGTTTATTTAACGATTCGGAACGTTTTAGTTTTACACTTGCCGGTGCTAATGTAAAATTAATCACTTTTTTATTACATTCCATGTTTAATTTATCTTGATTGGAAATGTTTCTTTCGTTATCGGGGATGTTTTCGTCTTGAATCATCGTCGAATCTTCATCTTTATCTTTATCGATGGTCTCTTTTAATTCTTTATTTCTTAAAGAGGAGGGGGGTTTTCCGGATGAATACTGACTTTTATGCAAACTGGGATCTCGGTAAAGTTTTGGAGATGCTGGAATGTTCTCTTTGTTAATTAAAGATGGTTTTGCTGATTTTTCTGGTGATGATTCGTCTACAAATGGAAGATCAATTTCTGATAAAAGTGGCGCGGTTAATTCTTTTTTCTTTTCGTCATAAATTTTTGTCATCGTTTTTAAAAGATCACCGTCTGCAAAAAAACAAATCATATTTCATTTTTTAAAAAAACTTATGCATTTTTTAGTTATTTAAAAAATTAATTACATATAAACAGCTTTTAATTTTAAATTGATGATCGAAGAAGAAACCTCTAACACTGAATTTATTGTGAAGCCATATTTAAAGCAAAAAGCGTTTCATAATTAAACATTGATTCGAATTTCATTAAATAATTTTTTAGGTTCAAACGTGGTTGAATTTATTAATGAATAAACATGCAAAGCTGAAACTATTTAAAATTATTTTTTATTAGTTGCAAAAAGGCTATGAATGAAACACTAAAGATAATTAGAGAGCAAAGCTGCGTTTATTTATTTAAATTTTTTTTATTATTTTAACGTAGCAAAGAGCGCAGCTGCTTTTTAAAATACCTTCGTCATCAAATCTGTTTACGGTAGAGACTACTACGAGTGCGTGGGGGGCGTTGGGGCATACTGGGGGGCCGGACCGGCCTCCACCCTCTCGGGGGTGCAATTGGCGTAAAACCTACCATCACCACATTAAGATAATTCCATAACATTTTTAACTTTTTAATTTTTCGGGAAGTTTAAGGATTGTTTAAAAATAGGTGATAAAATAACTTAAGCTTGGAAATATTTACAGCGGGTAAAAAAAATGGGTCCGCCAAAAAGTGACTTTTTTGCGAACACAATAAAAAACTTACCATCATCGATTTTATTTAAAGAATCTAAAGATCCACTTCTCTCAACCTAAACATAAAAAAATATATATATATTAATAATCTCAAGTTTTATTTTGACAACATTTTTACCTCATTTTCATATTTAATCTTTTTTAAATTCCCATTACTCTTCAAATCGACTATATTAATATTTTCCGCGGAGTTTCCCTTTCTGATACCATATCCGGTTGGAGAACTATTATAATTTCGCACTTCCGACGACGAAGAAGTGGTGCTCACGTCGCTAAAGCTGCTCTTATACACTTGATAAGATGGGTTATTGTCAATTTGTGGTCTCCGCCTGTCGTACATTTGATCACTATTTCTATTATAACCACCGTAATCACTGTATTTATAGTTCACCGGGTATTGCACTCTATAATTATCCGTTGAGTTTAAACTGTTCCTGCTATTATCACTATTATTCGTAGTTCTCGAAAAGACGTTTGAAGCACTGTGCGTCTTGGTGATCACTCTTTCATGAGGATTATTCGTTAAAGTTAATGGTTGACTTACATTTGATGCAGATGTACTTATTGGACCGGTTGCTCGTCGTTCTATTGAAAGAAAAATTATGTGATTATGAAGCGGTAAGCAGGAATAAAGCTTTAGATGTTAAGCAATATTACGATTTAGCTGGTTTATTTTACAGTATATAAGCTTAGGTCTAGTGTTAGTTCTAGTGATTCTAATTTTAGTTATTATTCAGCGTTAGATTGTTTTATATATTTATTGAACTAAAACTATCGGAAAACTGTCGGCACTGTCCCTCACCGATTTTGTTGCAATTTGGTACAGCGATAAAAAATAAGATTTACGAAATGAGCTATCGAAATGTGGTAAATTTAAACTGATATTCATTTTTAAAGAACTTTCCATTGATATATCACACATATATCTGAGGGCCTCAGGAGGTAAACTAACCCTAATTTTTTGGAATATTTTAAAAACTACCGTCTCAATTTTAGCGATATTAAGTATCCATATAGTACGTTTAAAAATATTAATTACGTGTTTTTTTTCATTTGCCTCTGACCATCCCTTGTAAACTTACAGAGTATGATAGATAACTTCTCTCCTTAAAAATAATGTAATAAATTGCATTAATGAAATCCTTACATAAACTAATTTAAAAAAAATCATTTTCACTTATACAGGTGTTCCAGTTAAGCGTATATTAAGCGTCCCTGTATATTTTATCATATTATGAATACAACTAATAGTATATTATTATTGATTCCATAAATTTATTTTTTAAATAAATTTTTGAATAAAGGTTAAACGTCAATGTGACACAAATTCAATGTTACTAACTGTAACCAACTTCACAACAATTTGTCAAAATTAAGTGTCAGTTTTATAAAACGTCGTTTTCTTTACGAAAATTAATTAATTTATGCTTAAATCATACGAAAAAACGAATTTGTTTAGGTTTTTTTAATGTCAAACATTTAGAAACTCCTAAAAAATTGAATTAAATTGACGTTTTTTGAACTTTTAACGTTTCAAATAATTATTATTAGTCTGGTCAAGATGGCTACCCGTGGATAATNTTTCAGTTTGCGTTATATTTATTTTTAAAATTCATTGTTAAACTCAAAGGACAAGTCATTTGAAAAACAAATTAAGATGTTAGCAGTGTTATAAAAATTATCATATCAAATAAATTTCATAACTTTTTCGTAACGTATTCAAAAACGGTGCTAAAATTGCACCTTCTACACTGTGTTAATTAATTATCGTACCCGACGTCATCATTGCAAGTATGCAACCAAATACGCAAATCGCGTATTGCAATACCAATACTGTGATATTGGTTGCATTCTTGCAATGATGTCGTCGGTCTGGTGCGATAATTAATTAACACACTGTATATGTAGTCTATTTTTTAATTTGGAGGATTAAAATGAAAAGTCACGTTTACACAGTGTAATTTTTTAAAGCTATATTTTTGGCGGGAATTTAAAACCAGAGAGGATTTTAAATAAACTGTAGTTACGAATTTAATGTATTATACAGGATGAGTTATTCGTCCCGGCGCTCGATAGTTACTAAACCGTTTGAAAAACAAAAATATATTTTATATAAAAGTTATTTGACTCATCACTTTCTATTACATAAAATTATTTTCACTTATACAGGGTGCTCCATTTAAGCGTAGCGGAGAGTACGTAAATTTGTATAAATGGAACATCCTGTATATTTTATCATATTATGAATACAACTAAATTTGTTTATACTACCGTATATGTTACTATTTCACAGCGTTCATAGTTCCTGAGATATTCAACTGTTCTTCCAAAATGTGCCCATTACAGGATCTTTTTAAAAACGATGTAAAATCGACATTTTTTCCAATTTTTTCTTGAAACTACGTCAGACAATAGCCAAAGCCAGTAGGTAGATGATAATAATATCTTTGAATACTAAAGATATTAGATACACTATACAGGTAAACTGATATTCATTTTTAAAGAGCTTTCCATTGATATATCACACATATATCTGAGAGCTTCAGGAGGTAACCTTAGGGGTAGGTTGGGTTGGGTTGGGTTGGGATTTTTTGGAATATTTTAAAAACTACCGTCTCGATTTTGGCGATATTAAGAATCTATATAGTACGTTTAAAAATATTAATTACGTGTTTATTATTACATTATTGATTTTATTATTAATTATACATTTTCATTATTGCCAAAAATACCTTGAATAAAAAGAAGTAAAAAAAAAGAAATTAAATTAATAATGTAGAATACTATTTGTGATAGTCACCCATTCTTTTGTCAGTTACTTTTTAACTCATTATTAATAAATATTTATACAGGCTGATTCATTAGCTCTATGACAAACTTTGGCAGATGAAAGGTGATGCGATTCTAAGGAAAAAATGTTATATGAATATGGGTCCGATTCATTTTGGTTAAAGAGTTACAAGCCTTTGAAAATTTTATACAGTTTAATAGACAAATGAAAATGTAACATAAAAAATAAGTTTAAAAATTACAAAAATTGTTCGAAATGTCCGCCTTCAGCTTGAATGCACGCTTCACATCGACGAAGTAAAGATTTGCAACAATCGCAACAATAATTATGAAACACAAATACAGAGTTGGCTGTGATAACAAAACTGAGTTCTTTATGGCAAACATTTCAATTTACTCTATTCTGTGTGTTTCAAAGTTTATAATTGTCAGAGTTTTGATCGAAAACGAAAATGCATGTAACTCTTTAACCAAAATGAATCGGACCCATATTCATATAACATTTTTTCCTTAGAATCGCATCACCTGCCAAAGTTTGTCATAGAGCTAATGAATCACCCTGTATAATTACCCTAACTTTTGTCTTATTTAAATAAAGTAAGGATAAAAAAACTTTTTCTGTGGGAGTATGAAAATTATTAGCGAAAATATATGTAAAATCCTTGTAAGTTCTTTCAAAAGTACTACTTAACGTATAAAAAAATCATCGTAGCAAAATAAAATTAATCTTTGGGGTGGCTAGGGTAGTTAAATGTCGTATAGTGTTTATTTTACTGCGTGAATCTTAATTTGCAACTAATTTATGGTTTTCTTCAGTTTATTACATTATTCTTAATTATCTATCATACCCCGTAAATTTGCAAGGGATGGTCAGAGGCAAATGAGAAAAAACACGTAATTAATATTTTTAAACGTACTATAAGGCTCCTTAATGCCGCCAAAATCAACAGGGTAGTTTTCAAATTACTTCAAAAAAGTTGGGGTAGTTTACCTCGTGAAGCCCTCAGATATATGTGTGATATATCAATGAAAAGCTCTTTAAAAATGAATATTAGTTTACATTTACCACATTTCGATAGCTATTTTCGTCTTCAGCCTATAAGTGAATATACAGGGTGAGTTATTAGTATTTCGGCGCTCGATAGTTATTAAACTGTTTGAAAATCAAAAAAATATTTAAAAAAAAATTTTTTTTGAATTATTTTCACTTATAAAGGTGTTCCAGTTAAGCGTAGCGGAGAATACGTAAATTTGCTTAAAATGGAACACCCTGTATATTTTATCATATTATGAATGCAACTAAATTTGTTTTTGTAATTCGCGACGGTAATAAAAGCTATAAAAGTACTCAAACGGGTGCTGTAATGAGACTCCTTACAGCATCCGATGCTGTAATGAGACTCCTTACAGCATCCGATGCTGTAATGAGATTTTAGTAACATTTTATGGAACCAGTTCAAGTTGGTGATATTGAGTCATTAATTTTTCTAGTTGTCAATGTGACAATTTTTGTCTATGGATGTTTAAACACGTTCTTAGCATCGAACACAAAGTCCACAATGATGAGGACATTGAACTCTGAGCAATTTCTCTTATTTTGGGAGGTCTACATGAAACATTTTTGTCAGGTGAATACATTTTGTGTTTTGACAGTTTCTAATTGTCAATTCAAATTTCTATTTTCAAGTGTTACCAACTGCTACATACCTATTTCCCTACATTGTCAAAATTTATTTTAATTTTGTTAAAAAAAAAGGATAAAAACGCGAATTACAAAAAATAACATAAAAAACACGTTTCATAAGACTTAAAACACTCATTCATTAAAAATCAACTTGAATTCGTGAATTTCAAGCGTGTCTTACGAAATTTGTTTTTTAATATACTATTATATTATACAACCGTATATGTTACTTTTTCACAGCGTTCATAGTTCCTGAGATATTCAACTGTTCTTCCAAAATGTGCCCATTACAGGATCTTTTTAAAAACGATGTAAAATCGACATTTTCTCCAATTTTTTCTTGAAACTACGTCAGATAATAGCCAAACCCAGTAGGTAGATGATAATATCTTTGAATACTAAAGATATTAGATACACTATACAGGTTGCTTATAAAACATCAAAGGCTTATTCTTAAGTTTTTGTGACAATAATTTTACGTAATAGAAAGTGATGAGTCAAACAACTTTTCTAGAAAACATTCTTTTCTTTCTCAAACGGTTTAGCATCTATCGTCTGTCGGGATACTAATAAATCACCCTGTATATAACTCGCCCCAGGGGCTTTATTAGCACGTATAAAAAAATACGTAAACCTTATTTTTGGCCATACTATCGCTGTATCAAATCGGTGAGGGATACTTCCCTTGTTAGAACAAAGAACATTCGGGTTTAACCGTCTTAAAATGTTTCTAATTCTAAATTTAGTGTTAGTTCTAGTTTTATTTGTGAAGATTAAAAGAAAAAGATTCAAAAATCAAAATATTTATTAAACTCACCTAATGCGGAGTTTTGTTGTTTTCTTGATGCGCTAAGATTAGCTTCAGTTTCTTGAATAAAATTTTTTATTCTCTGCTCAACTTGTTCCCTATCCGTTTTATAGTTAAACCACGGTTTTGTTGATTGTTCCAAATCGGTAACAGTTGTTGGTATGCTCTGTTTGCAATCGATGGTATTCTAATAAACAAATTATCCCGTTAATCATTTTTTAATCGATCAAGTAAAACTTACGAACCTCTTTGAAATCGGTAACATCAAAAGATTGCGCCGTAAATTCTTTAATTCCGTTCGGAGTTGATCCTTCCTCTTTGGAATCTTGAGAACTACTGTGACTTTTTGCCGGTTTTCTTTTTACTTTTCTATGTGCAGCCGATATTAATGATGTTATGAATTCTTTTTTCTCTTTTTGTTCTTTCAAACCTACAAAAAAAAATTTAATTTTATTACATATACAACTTTTTAATTTAAAAAATTTACCTTCTACTTTGCTTATGTTATCTAAAAGTAAATTTGTATTGATTTGATCGTTCTCTTGTGACTCAGCCATTGCTATAGGTGCGGATAAATTTAGTTCTTCGACGCTAATATCGTTAAAGAACCAATCAGCCTAAACAAAAAAATTAATTAATTCTATTTTTTTTTAATTTCTTGAATTCCTTACGTAAACTAATAGGGATTCAACGATTTTGCATTGATGTGTCATATCGTTAACCATTGTTTCCATGCTTTCTTCGGCTGCTCGAACAATTGTTGGTCCAAAAACGATCGCTAAATTTTTCGCTTCCATTTTATTCATATTGCTGTTCTCCACGACCCTTTTTAAATGTAAAATTAGATGTTTCAAGGTGTGATAGTGATGTGGCGGTAACATTTTTATCAATTTTTTAATTTGTTCCAATCGGGCTATTGTATTTTCAATTTTATCTGCGTCGATAAACTTCGAATACAAATTGGCTGTAAGTAGAGAGTCGGGCATTTTTCTGAAGAACGATTTTAATAAACTGCTAACGACGTGGACGTCGTTCCATCTCGGATCAATTTGCGTTAATTCGTCGCATCTATTCGCTTCTTCCGTTAAAGCGGTAACCGCGGCGTTATTTCCTGGCACTCGGTAGATACCGATCGTTTCGAGACCTTTCGTCTCGACTATTTCAGTACATGCTTCCACAAGTCTTGGCACGAATTGGTTATAACCAGACTGTTGGCAGTGTTCCAATAAAACACCGAACGTGGAACCTTCGGGAGCCGTTGGGGAAGTTGGCGAACTTGCACCTTGAATCTTCCGGAACTGTTTGGCCACTCTTCCTCGCCATGTTTTTGATTTGGGACTTGTTGCAACTTCGGTTACTTGAACCGGTTTTCTATTCTTTGAAACTGGGGAATGACCAGTTGGGGAACGATTCCTTAAGTTGGTTAATTTTGATTTGTTGGATTGCGGGGATAATCTCGTGGAACCTTGCACTTGGATGCTCGTTGAAGCTGGGATTGTTTGAGGTACCGCTTGTTGTTTATAAGCTTCAGCTTGTTCCTAAATTAAATTTATTATTAAAATCGGATATGGAAAGATTTTTTTATAAAAAATTAACACTTTTCTTACAACTTTTGTGGTTCGTATAACTCGAAGTCGAAAAGCAGCGATTGTTAACAACATTTCTCTTTTTTTAATTTAAATAAAAACGTCCAGCATGGTTTAAAAACGTTTAACGACTGGCGATGTTCGTTGTGAATGAAAAGAATCGGATACAAATTGTTTTCTAAACGCTGATAACCGATCGGCGCCCAAAACTAAATCTTTTAATACCTCAGTTTGCTATTTACAAAGTGAAAATTATTATCTCATTATCTTTCAATTGTAACTTTTGTAATTCTTAGTAATCAGATAAGAACGTTAGAACATAATATTGACGTCATCTTAATCGATGTTTTTATTATTTTACTTTCATTTGATCAAAAAAATACGAGACATCTATTTAATGACATAACAAAAACGTATTGTTTACGATCGATTTTGTAAAAATTCTCCTATTACTCACCAAGTAACAATCGATATCGTAAAGTTCGGCCACATCAAAACTGAACATTTTGGCGCACCGACACGAACATTGTTTAAAGACTGCTTTAAAAAATATGCAACGGGAATGTTTATGTAACGGAGATATCGGCAACCGCGCAGATAAAACCGGGGCTATTATCAACGGAAAGCGAAAAACTCCGTGTTCTGAACACAATCGGTTCTGTATTATTACTATTTGAAAACGAGATTATCACAAATGAGACGACGACCATCACGTGGTCGTCAAATCATAAATTCAAGGCGTAATATTGATTTATTATTTCATATAATTAATAAATTGTACATAATTAATAAAAAATTTTCTTATTAAATTATTTCACTTACTGTTTTAAATTCTTCGTCATTGGCAGCAACTTGATCCTGAAGACATTTAACCCATTCGGCTAGATCAACCGGATTTTCAGCTTGCAATAAAATTTCTGATCTGCATGGTACAACCGATGACACGCGAAGAACATGTTTCCTTTTGGTGTAATCTTCGGGGATTCCCACGCAACTCGCACGCATGTCTATGCCCGAGGCCAAAGACTGTTCCGCAATGTCCGACGATCCAACAGGACTCTACAAACAATGGTTTAAAATTAAAATTATAATTCAATTAATTATTTCTATAAAATTGTCAAAATGATTAGATTTTTTTCGATCAATTCACGCATTATTTAGATATTGTTTGGCAGAAATATCAGGTGAGATTGTTGAAAATGTACGTTTTTAATTGGTCGAATGTTTAACAAGACACTTATAATCATCATTTATAAGTGACTTGTTATCGTGTTATACGAACGATGCGGCGATAATTATTCCGCGTTGATCTGATAAAATGATTGATAATTATAAGGAATTTATATGACAAGAATAATATAAGATAATAATTTTTGTTGCAACATAATAGGTTTAATAAAAAATCGTGTTAGAATTTCAATGAAAAAACGTTAAGTAATTTCGATTAGATGACTCACAAGAAATTAGATATGGAACTATCATGTAAGTTTGCATAAGATGTGTCAGAAGCATCAGAAGTGGGATAAAAGTAATAATTCCTGATTCAGAATACGAGATGGAGATATCGTTTGGGGGAAATTGCCACAAAACTTCGAAGTAGTGGATAACTTCAGCTATTTGGGCAATATGATAAACACCAAAAACTTATCGCATTTCAGAGACACGTAGCGCAAAGAATGTGTTTCTAAGACGACCAAGAGGAAAGCACATGTAGCAACAGCAAGATTCTTGTGATGAGAAGCTGGAAGAGAATGGTCTGTAATCGAGATGGTTGAAGGCATTAAGGAAGTTAAGGAAGGCTGTAGCCCATTGAAGAAGAAGAAGATGACGATTCAACTACCTTTATCATTACGTTCCAGGTGATAGGTGAAATAAAGATAATGGAGTTGACTTAAAAATGTTAAACGTTAGTTGATGCATATTTTCAGGTTACCACTGAGAAATTATACAGGGTGCCCATTATGTATGGAATATTGTATACAGTGTGTCCCCGGATAGGTGAAACGACTCTTATAAAAGGTAATTTTTTTTCGATATTAATTGTCATCTTTTGGTGCTTGATTAACGACTAATTTTGAACATATTATCAATTATTAAAAAACAAGTGAGCCTTGACAGTGAAAGAAAAACTCTTTTTGTGGCAGGTAAAGTACCTATTCTGTTTACAGTACGTGAAAGTGTTACTAAGAAGTTTTGTTCAGAATGAAAAACTATGGGCATATGCAAATTTTCGGATTGATCGGCCTACTTTGAAAAAATCCATATCAAACAATTTTATTTCTAACAAAGACTGCCATGGAAAAACAAAATTGCTTTCCTGTCATTGTTAATCTCTCAAACTGTAATTTAGTAAACTTAAAGTGTTTTTTAAACAGAATGTTAACATTAGAGGAAAAAGTTTACGTGATTCAGTGTTATGGAACCGGGAAAAAACCGATTATTGCTTTATTTTGTGAAAAATTTCCAAATACTGCAGTTAAAAGAAGTACTTGTTGGCGTTTAATCAAAAGATTTCTTACAGCAGGAAGTATTCACTCTAAGAAAAAAAAAATTATGATGAAACTGATTAACTATGATCAACTGTTTTCCTTTGTGGGCGAACACACACTTAATTTCTTGTGAACATTTTCAGAACGGTTTGTTTATTTCTCCCTAATAATCTGAATCTCAAAACAAAAAGTCGTAATAAGGTACTATTGACGAAAATAATAAACAATAGGTTTTATCAAAGTAGGCTGATGAAAATTTGCATATGGCCATAACTTTTCATTCTGAATAAAATTTCTTAGTAACATTTTACCATACTGTAAACAGAAAAGGTACTTTACCTGACACACAAGAAGTTTTAGCTTCAGTATCAACACTCACTTGTTTTTTAAAATTTGAAAATATGTTCAAAATTAGTCTTTAATCAAGCAGGCCTGAACCCCAAAAG